CGGGGGTTGACACCAAAGATGCTGCCCTGGGTGACACCAGAGATTCCGCCCCGGGTGACACCAGAGATTCCGCCCCAGGTGACACCAACTCTAGCGACGCCTCTACATCCTCTCTCTCACCTTCCTCCTCCTCCCCTCCCCCTCCTCTCTCTCTTTTCCCCATCTCTCATTCTCTCTCCCCCTTTGTTTCTTCCTCCTCCCCTCTCTCCCCATGTTTTCCCTCTTTCCCCCTCCCCACCTCTCCCATTTTGCCACTGTCTCCAGCTTCCTCCTCTCCCTCCTTCTGCCCCCCTTCCCCACATACACTCAGACAAACACACATCACAAACAACCACACAGAAATACATAAGTTTTTCATTCTCTGGCAACCAAAAAAAAAAAAAAAAGATGGGTTGCTAGAGAGCAGGATGGAAAACCAGGGGACCGGAGGATGAGGCTGAGAAGGAAGATTGTGTAGCAGAGCTCGTGAAATGGGAACATGAGTGGGAAAGGAAGCTAGAAGAGCTTAGCTTGAAAATGGAAAGGACAGCTGCAGAGAGCAGGAAGTGGGAGATGCAAGTCTCAGCAGTGGAGGCTAAGATTCAGAGATTGGAAGAGAAACTGCAAAATCTGAAACAGCCTAAAGAACTGAAGAACAATGTGGGCATGGCCTCAGAAACTGCTACCTCAGCCATAAATGAGGGGACTGTAGGGAACAAAGGAGTGAAACTGTATGCAGAGGCCCTGTCAGACCATCGTGGAGCCTGAGAAAAAAAGAGGATCACATCAGGAACAATTGAGGGGACTAGAAAATGAAAGAGCTAAGCTATATGTAGAGGCCCTAGCAGAACAGAGTGATGTCCAGGGAAAGCTGAGAAGGAAAAATGACAGACCACTGGGCCCAGGGACAACAGATAGTGAAGAGATTGAAGTAAGGAAAACTGCAATGGAGGCAACTAAATCGAACCAGGGGATACATAAGGATATGCAGTGGGAGAATGAAAGGGAGAGATCAGTCTTTGTTTATGGGCTCCAGGAAGTTGAAGGGGAAACTTACAAAGCAAGAAGACAAGGGGAGAAAAAAGCTATTGAAAGCAGCATTAAAGCAATAGGAGAAGACGACATAACCCAGCTGGCATATTGTCTGAGAATAGGGTTTGCAAGAGGAGGAAACCAGCCAAAGTGATTTTCAAGGCAGAATCGGCTCGAAACATGATTCTGCAGGAGAAAGTGCGACTAAGGGACATGTCGGCATACCAGAGGGTGCATCTTGACTTCGAGAAGAAAGGCAGAAACTGAAAGAGAAGGTACAAAGACGAAAGGAGGAAAGAGATGCAAAGATGGAGATGGACAGGAAAACTCAGACTCAGGAGGAAGATCAAATACAACCTCCCTCACAACCCACTACAGAATCCTCCAACCAGGACAATCCCAATGCAACCAAACATTTTAACCCAAAATACACAAGCCATACCCAGTGCCCCCACCCACCTCATTAACAAACTCCACCTTCACATCAACCACCCATAGTTCCTCATCAGGTCTCCTGCTTCCTCAACCCCAACATACCCCCCGGACCACAGTTTTAGAAAAGTTGGAGGTTTAGTATACAAATGCAGATGGAATAACAAATAAATGTGAGGAGTGGCATGAAAGAATCAAGAAGATATCCCCAGACATAACACTCACAGTAATGAAACCAGGATGGTAACAGATGCAATCTTTCTGCCTGGATATCAAATCCTGAGGGAGAAGAGGGGGAGGGGGGAGTTGCACTGTTCATTAAAAACCAGTGGGGATTTGAAGAAATGGATGGAATGTGCGAAAAGGACTACATAGTAGGAACAGTTCAGTCTTGGGGCCATAAGGTGGTAATTGAAGTGATGTACAACCCGCCACAAAACTGCAAGAGACCAAGAGAAGAATACGAAGAGAGCAACAGAGCAATGGTAAACACACTAACTGAGGTGGTCAGAAGAGCTCACATGGGTAGAGCAAAGTTACTAGTTATGGGTAATGTCAGTCAAAAAAAGATTAACCCTTTGACTGTTTCGGCTCTATATATACGTCTTACAAGCCAGTGTTTCGGACGTATATATACAGTGGACCCCCCCATAACGATATTAATCCGTTCCTGAGAGCTCATTGTTATGCGAAATTATCGTTATGCGAATGAATTTTCCCCATAAGAAATAATGGAAATCAAATTAATCCGTGCAAGACACCCCAAAGTATGAAAAAAATTTTTTTTACCACATGAAATATTAATTTTAATACACACAAGCTGAAAAAGACATGCACAGTTACATGACACTTACCTTTATTGAAGATCTGGTGATGATTGATGGGATGGGAGGAGGAGAGAGTCTTAGTGTTTAGAAGAGGAATCCCCTTCCATTAAGACTTGAGGTGTCAAGTCCTTTTCCGGGGTTACTTCCCTTCTTCTTTTAATGCAACTAGGACCAGCTTCAGAGCCACTGGACTTCTGTCGCACAACATATCTGTCCATAGAGGCCTGTACCTCCTGTTCCTTTATGACTTTCTTAAAGTGGTTCACAACATTGTCAGTGTAATAGTCACCAGCACGGCTTGCAATAGCTGTGTTAGGGTGATTGTCATCAAAAAAGGTTTGCACTTCAAGCCACATTCCACACATTTCCTTAATCTTTGAAGTAGGCAACTTCTTCAATTTCTCTCTCCCCTCCTCCGAAGCAGTTTCCTCAGGTCTGGCCTCTTGCTGTTGAAGTTGATCTAGCAGCTTATCAGTGGTTAGTTCTTCATTGTCCTCCTCCACCAACTCTTCCACATCATCCCCACTAACCTCCAACCCCAAGGACTTCCCCAATGCCACAATGGATTCCTCAACTGGCATAGGATTCCCAGGGTTAGCCTCAAACCCTTCAAAATCCCTTTGGTCTACACATTCTGGCCACAGTTTCTTCCAAGCAGAGTTCAAGGTCCTCTTAGTCACTTCCTCCCAAGCCTTACCTATAAGGTTTACACAATTGAGGATATTAAAGTGCTCTCTCCAAAACTCTCTTAGAGTCAATTGAGTTTCTGAGGTCACTACAAAGCACCTTTCAAACAGAGCTTTTGTGTACAGTTTTTTGAAGTTTGCAATAACCTGCTGGTCCATGGGCTGCAGGGGAGGAGTGGTATTAGGAGGCAAAAACTTCACCTTAATGAAGCTCATGTCCCCATAAAGTCGCTCTGCCACGTCTGTAGGATGACCAGGGGCATTGTCTAACACCAGGAGGCACTTAAGGTCTAATTTCTTTTCAGTTAGGTAATCTTTCACATTGGGGGCAAATGCTTGGTGTAACCAGTCATAGAAAAAGTCCCTAGTGACCCATGCCTTACTGTTTGCCCTCCACAGCACACACAAATTAGCCTTGAGGATATTCTTTTGCCTGAACGCTCTGGGAATTTCTGAGTGATACACTAATAAAGGCTTCACTTTGCAATCACCACTAGCATTGGAATACATCAACAGAGTAAGCCTGTCTTTCATAGGCTTATGTCCTGGGAGTGCCTTTTCCTCCTGAGTAATGTAGGTCCTGCTTGGCATTTTCTTCCAAAACAGGCCTGTTTCATCACAATTAAACACCTCTTCAGGTTTCAGTCCTTCAGTTTCTATGTACTCCTTGAATTCCTGCACATATTTTTCAGCTGCTTTGTGGTCCGAACTGGCAGCCTCACCATGCCTTATCACACTATGTATGCCACTACGCTTCTTAAATCTCTCAAACCAACCTTTGCTGGCCTTAAATTCACTCACATCATCACTAGTTGCAGGCATTTTTTCAATTAAATCCTCATGCAACTTCCTAGCCTTTTCACTTATGATCACTTGAGAGATGCTATCTCCTGCTATCTGCTTTTCATTTATCCACACCAATAAGAGTCTCTCAACATCTTCCATCACTTGCGATTTCTGTTTCGAAAACACAGTTGAACCTTTGGCAAGAACAGCTTCCTTGATTGCCGTTTTGTTGGACACAATAGTAGCGATGGTTGATTGGGGTTTACTATACAACCTGGCCAGCTCGGAGACACGCACTCCACTTTCATACTTAGCAATGATCTCTTTCTTCATCTCTATAGTAATTCTCACCCTTATTCCTGTAGGGTTGGCACTAGAAGCTTTCTTGGGGCCATGGTCACTTATTTTGCAGATAAAATCACCAAAAACACTGTAATAATACAAAATGTTCTGATTGTATGCTTGGATGTTACCGCGGAGGCTGGCTGGTAAACAATGCCACCGGTGGAACATGTGAGGCTGGCTCAGGCCGCACATTAGACGCGTCTCGGACGAATAGCGTTGAGCGGGTTTTTTAGCGGTATGCGAGGCAAAATCTTAGCGATAAAATGTATCGGTATGCGGATTTAACGTTATGTGATGCCAACGGTATGCGGGGGTCCACTGTACTCAGTAATTCTAGTGGCTTCAAATCAAGCAGAAGAAAACTGATAGGCCAACATGTGAGAGAATAAGTCTGTGTGCTCAGTGTGCAGTGTATAAAATATTCCTGCTGCACGCAGTGCACAATGAAAAAAAAACTGGCCATGTTTTTTTGTTTAAAATGCCGAATTTGAGGTGTATTTTCGTATAGTATTTATGGTTGTATTGTCGTTTACTGGGTCTCATTTGATATAAGGGAAAATATATTGCAGGTCTCCCTCAACATTCACGTTTTCAGCTTTCGCGGGCTTCACACATTCGCGAATTCCCAACCGCCAAATTCCCAGCCACCAAATTCCCAGCCACCAAATCATGTTTAAGTTTCTCGCCACCTTCGAGTCCCTACTACCCTCCCACCGACCCCGGCAACTGGCAGCCAGCCCTCCCACCACTCAGTGTGGTGAGTGTTTTGTTTGTTCATTATTTGCTATTAAACTACAGTATAAATAATGTGAACCCATTCATGACTGCATATTGGAATGGCTGTTCGGACAGGTATTAGACGGTGACATCATGTGTTTACTCTTGAACACAGCAAAGAATCAAACATTTCTGCTACTGCTAATAATAACAATAATAATAATAATAATAATAATAATACGATATACAGTGGTCCCTCGCTTTTCGTAGTTCC